GCATTGTATACACTTAATTATATACTTTAATTGAGCTAATGAAATTTACTATAAAGTTAAGAAGTAAGTTAAAAATATTTGTTATAAATATAGTACATTTTAATATAGAAAAAATTTTCATTTTCTCTATTTTTAAAACAGTTTTAAAACCAATATGTATTTGTTCTTGGTTCAATTTTTTATAGCAAAGTTTCCAATAAATAAAATATTTTATCTAATGACACGACCAAGGTTATCGTATCTGTGTTTTATACAAGTATTATGATGTGAAGTGGACGTAGATCAAAATTAAAAAAATGTTATATGTAATTATCATTATTTTTATTTATAAATTTTTTAATATCTTGTAAATAGTTTTTCTTTTTCGATAAATAGAATCGCTCTCGTCTGAATTAGAAATCTCGTTACATCAATATCACAATTAAAATATGAATCATTGATAATGTTAAAATCATAATTTCTCTAGGGATTTTTTTCAGAATTTTCTGCTATTTAGAATTATTTAGAAAATAGATTGTGGAAAAAGGAGAAAATGAGATGCTTGAACGACGGAGAAACGGTGCTGCCACCGGTATGGAAGCTTTCAACTATTCGATGCGTTAAGCGTGCTCATACACGCACTAATACATCAAAGAGTAGCTTAGACGTTGCGTTACGGAATATTAAATTAGTCGTGTGTAGTATGAAAATACAACTGCCACATTGCCTTATAAAATATGGGAGATAAAGGTAAAAAAAAAATTACTACTTCGATACGTGACCATATTTTCCTTTGTATGGTCATTTTTATTACGATTAAGATTCATCCTTTTATATTTCATAGTAGGAACGTGTACCGTCGAAACCTGATTGAATGTTAGTCATTAGTTGAACGAACTAGAATTATTACTGCAAAATCAACATTTTTATAAAAAATTTTGTGTCTCGTTAATTCGTTCAAAGCCGGTCAGTTGATGTATGAGGTTAGGACACGTTCGTAATTGGGTCATTTGAAAGCGCGCCACTTCGAAAGTACGATGCGTCTTGTTATTGATAGAACTTTATACCATAAATATATACTCGTAGCGTTTTAGTTTATTCGCGTTTACTTTATGTATCTGTCAAAGTTATGACGATTCTTTTTATTACATAATCCTACATGGATCTATTACATCATGGTCAACAGCTGATATCTAACGAGCTACCAACTTTTAACACTTCATAAATTGATGTAACAATTTATGAAGTCATAAATATTGTTGAATAGAGAATAAATATTTCTACATCTCGTGACATTTCTCCATCAAAGCAAAAATGATATCGTAAATTATATGTGTGTGTGTGCGTGCACATGTAAATTAATAATTATATCATTCATACAGTCTTAGATATGATTTTAATGTCAAAAAAATTACATGTAATATCACCTTCTATATACTATTGCCATTAATTCTTTGAAATTGAGGTACGAAAATAGGATTATTCATAACCTTATATTTTCCGATATGTACTTCGAAATCGTACATTATTCACATAGACTTCCATTGTTACCTACATGCGTTTCATTTAGGAATTATATTCAATCTTCTGTGGACTATTCCTCTAATAATAATTCTTTCTTTTAAACACTTCAAAATTTATCTTGTAAATTAATAATAGTGGTCATTGGCATCAATGTTAAATTATAAAAGTCCGTAAATTTAGTATGTAAATTTATATCATATTTGTACTTAAAAATTATCATTACATACAAAATCATCTCAATACATTTTTCCATTGTTTTATTTTAGAACTCGATACAGTGAAACAAATGTAATTAAATGTTTTATTATTAACAGTAGGAAAGTTATCGATTGTACTTACTAATAAAATTGCGAAAATTAAATTAATAAAATTAAAAATAAATTTGCATAAGGTAAAATTTTATTCCAATAGCTTTTAAATTTTGATAAAATGTAAATGTAAATGTTAAAGTTTGCTTTACTATATATTTGAACTATATATTTGCAGAAGAAATATATAAGAAAATTTGAAACCATTGTTTGTTATAATCGTATAAATACGATTTCTACTAACATTTTTCTTCTATTTATATTACGTACTTTGATATTTATCTTGTTTAATTACATTATTACATTAACTTAGTAATAACACACATATTTTCATTCTAATTATCACTAAACAAAATTAAATAAGATCGACAGTTACAAAATAAGCAAAAAATAAAATCAATAAACCAAATTAAAGATAAAATTAATAATATTGATAATTGAATTGAATAATTGAATTTTGTTCAATAAAAAAAAGTATTGAGATTTTGCAATCACGAAAGATATACTAAGAACATATGATATAAAAATAACAGAGTTGCTATATATAATAAATATTATAAATAAATAATAAATATAAATAAAATATAATAAATATTATAAATAAAATATTATAATAAATATAAATAAATATTTTTTTTTAATTATCACGTACATTAATGTTAATATATAATATCTATTATTAATATTACATTATAAATATTTTATCTTACTGCAAATTAAATAAGTATTAAATGTATTAAGATAATAAAGAGCTCTGAGAATTGTCTCAATAGCTAATTCGTAGAAGTTTACTTACACAGTTTATATAAAATATATAATAAATGTGTATATGATATTTTTTCTTTGTTTCTTAAAACTTTAGAGCATCATGTGCACTTCAGTGGGGGGAGTAGCCTCGGAAAAGACAACAATATTATGGTACAACCTCAACGACATGGACAGATAGATGCTCATCTTGGATTTTTACAACTTTATCACAGGTTGGATTTTAGTTTTACGCATTTAAATTAACGAATGGTTTACTTATTAAATTTATGTTTTAGATATCACGTGGAATTCTCAATTCCTTGGAACTTGTGTACACACAGAGAGCGAAGAAGTTCCGCACCAGCAGTGGTCACAGGACCTCATAATCCCAATTGCCATGTTATAGACATGATACATGAGAAGGAAGGCCTAAAGTAAATTTTCGTATGAACGTACTTAAAACTTTATTTTTTGTAGACACGCATTCATTATTTTTTTTTGTAAATTCTCTAATTTTGATTGCATATCACAAGCTGTTTTTTCACAACAGGTTAAAGATAGAACTACTAGCATATAAGGAGAAGATCTTGAAGGAAGAAGTGCAAATAATGTGCTGCAAAAATGGAACACCATTGAAAATCCAGTTGAATACACGCGTCTTGGGGAAAGACAAGGGCAGGCCATTGCTGAGGAATGGGATACGCAGTATCGCCGTGGAACAATCAAACGAAGATGAGGTCTCCGAGTAGATCTCATTGATAGTAAAATATTATTACTCGAATATCTAAGAGTCGAGTGTTTTTTTCACAGGTGCTGGGTACGAAATTGAGGGCATCTTTGAGCATGCAAAACCAACAGAGTCTCTGAAGAATATTCTGAGATTGGGACACACCAAGGAGCGTATGTATCTATTTGAAGACGTAATGTAACAGGGGATAAAATCTGATGACGAGAACGTTCCTTATTTCGAACTTTAATCGTGCAAAACGCTGGATCGCGTTGCAGTGAAATTAGTCGTTAGTTATCAATGACCATTACATAAAGAAATCACATGCACATTATGTTCAATCTCAAGTAGCGTAAAATGTCTTGTCTGTCGAGATCAATTTAACCACACAATATATTTCAAGCTGCACGATGTAACTTTCGAAATATGCGATGTTTCAACGAAAATGGAAGAACTCTTTGAATTTATTATAATCGGTACAGGCCTGTATCACAACCGCAAGACTTCTTTCCCTTTCTGCGTCGAGGATTATTATAACGATAATTTCGACGCAAGAAAACAGAAAGATGAAGTGTTCCTTTAATCGGCCTTTTTTTAGAGGATCACATCGAGATATGTATAATTACAATTTATCGCTAAGTACCGCATTTGCCTACTGTTCCTTCTCAAACGAATACGTATCACACAATGCCTACATATATATAAAAATCTATTACATCTTCTAATATCTATCGATGGTCTATCCGTAATAACAAAATTGTATTTTATTATCGTTTTACATGGAGCATAGATTTTAACCGATAAGAATATATCACTAATCAAAAGCTGTTCGCGTTATGAATGATAATAATACTGTTTTCTAATTCCTTGCTAAGTTGATACGAATTATTAAAATGGACGATTTGAATGGAAGTATCTTTTTTTTTTATTAACATTCATTCCGTATTAAACCTTGCTATTTGTACCCTTATTCGGAGATTGAAGTTATAGTTTATTCAAAATTAATTGGCTAATCAAGCAAATTTTACCATTTAGCAATGACTCGTATTACATATATAAATGTGTATTTGAATAAACTATAATTTTTGTACGCCGTGTTATGCGCCAATACATATTTCACTAATCATAAATATTTGCTTTCTAATTATTACAAAAATTACAATTTTCAACTTTTTATGTTCGCATTTGCTTAACATGCGTAACATGTAACATTTCATTGTTTTTAATGGCTTGTTATTGCTGGTGATTTCTCAGAATAACACGTTGAAATGTAGCTAGCATCGAAAGCTTGACTGTTTCATGGGAATACCAGTTGGTCCATCAACAAATTCGCAAATGTTGAAACCAAGTCTGGCCAGAGGATGACAATTACTTCTTGGATTGCCCCACTTGCCTCTAAAAGTCATCCAACTGGGTAAAATGCTATTATCCGTTTTTAGAAGCAATTCCATCTTCTTCCACGTGGGCCAAGCGGTACCAAAGCCACTCTCGTCATAGAGACGGGGCAATCTGACAAATTTGTGCTTCCCTGGTGCTGTCCAGAGTCCGTGAGATCCTCGCGCACTGAATAATATCGGATGAGAGCCGCCAGCAGTGAAAACCCTTTCGGGAAATATAGGTTTCTGGAAGATGCCTTTTCTCGTTTCTTGGCTCTCGTAAACGAAAGTTCCGCTTCGCAGATCGTATCGGTAAAATGCGCCTGCATCGTGAGCAGACACGTACATGGCTGATGGGTAATTTGCATCCTTAGTTTAAAAAAGAAAAAAATAGTTTTGTATGAAAAAAAGGTACTCTAACCAATACTGAGATTTCCACAGAACTTCTTTGCCAATACAAATGAAAATAAATTAACAAAAGAGACAGTGGCATGTACCTTAAAGTAAAGACTCATGTGTTCCCAATCGCCCACATGATTGCCATATTCCTTGAGTATCCCGAGACACATGCCACCTACCGTGGGTATCGGCCAGCTACCAAAAAATCCAAGATCCAGAACACAGACTGCCTTTCCCTCGCTGAACGGATAGAACATCCAATAGGTCACGTGAAAGTGCAACTTCCGAGACTTGTTTGCTTTTTTCCTTTTCTTCTCAAAATTGCCATGCTTCTACAAATAATTTTATATAAATAACCGTTGTTGTCAAAATATTTTCAAGTTCCTTGATCTTTATTCTAATAGCTACTATCTAAGTTATTATTTCTTTTTAATATTTTTCTTTTAACACATCTACTTCTCTCCCCACTATATCTCTCTTATCGTGTAATAATTTTTTATAAATAAATTCCTTTGTTCCGTTTACCTCTAGACTCTGTTTGGTATCGCTTTTCCGTGTTTGTCCTGGGAAATCGTTGGTGAGGATCATGGACGACTCGAAATCATCGATCTGCATGTTCCTCGATGATATCAACATCTCGTCCCCCTTTCTTCGCGGCTTTTTTTCGTCCCTTAAATTTATCATGTGCGCAGAGACGTCCGGAGCAACGCAGTTCTTGATCACAGCATAAACCGGTACTGTCGCCGCTGGTTTCCGGCCATATAGGAACGACGATCGATTCCTTAACAGTACTTCTGCCAATGTAAAATCGTTCTATATAACTTGGCTTGAATTGGCCATAATCGTAAAGGTTTTTTTCTCATTTGTCATTTACCTACGTCGACTTTGGTGCGAAGGTAGCCGTCGTCGAATTCCATATTGTCGAGGAACTCAGGTACCCCAAGGGGTAAAAAGAGTTCACCAGGTGCAAGCCATACCAGAGGCGCCCAGTCTTGTACTAATCCTTTTACTGCAATTTAATTTAGTAAAGACAAAAGAAAAAGAAGAAGAAAGAAAAATAAGGAAATAACATCAGATTGTAATGAAGATGAAGATGAAATATATTTTATAAAGCTAAATAAAATTAATTACAAAATCTTGTTTTGATACTGATTGTATTTAAAATTAATATTAATAAGTTCCAGAAATATATAAACGAAGAATATTTTTCTTGAATATTTATAAAATATCGGACACTCTTCACGCTGACGTTTTTAATACCACAATTTGATTAAAATAAACAGGAAATGAAACTAAATGATTATTAACTAAACTCGTGATGACAATACTCCTATAGCGGAAAATTATAGACCAAGCGCAATAAATGATGTCGAACGATACCTATAGAAAGTTGAACATGTGTCTATAAATTTGATACAAGGTTGAAAGTAAAAGACTAAAACCATCGTCCCTATAAAATCATTTAAACACGCAATTCGATAGAAAGAAAACGCAAACAAATGTACAAAGTATCAGTGACAATTATTCATGCTAATAACATTACCGATGATAACATAATATGTTTATTAGAAAGCTAGTTTCTTCGAGCTGATAGTTTCAGTGTGTACTACATATATTTAGGTAGAAAAAATGAAAAGCCTACGGGGATTCTGCTTTCATTTCATTTCAAGTGAGCAAGATCGCGAATGTATACATCTTCATTTTCATGCACTCCCACACTTGAACTTTCATCAGTTACCATCGTCTGAAGTGGTATATTACTCGCCGAGGAACTCGAAACCTCATTATGATACGAGTTGTAATAATTCGCAAATGTTTATGAAAAAAAAAGATTCGATCAATTTTTGGAAAGAAATATTTATATCGAGCTTGAAGTACCCTGAAAGGATTTTCATTTCGTCATTACTGGTAGGAAAAGCTTTCACCGTTGACGTTCGCGTGTCAATTTATCAGTGCCCTGGCATCGAAGCCATAATTATCATGTAGATTCGATATATGGCATTACCATGTTTGGTATTACGGCATGTTTCTCATTATACTTCCGCAATTAAAGAACGCCACGAACGGGAATAAGTTTCTTTATTGTTTTTTTTACTGGAACGCGGCACTTAGGTATACACGTTAGGTACTTATTGCCGAGATAATTACCTCCGTTGCTTAGATTAGTCCGAGATAATTTAATTACTATTCATTTAGGTTGACAATCCTCTCTAACGAGATGATGTTATACTATGATAAATATATAGGATTTTTTCTGTATACAATCGAATCAAACCATAGCGTTAGAACTGTAGGGAATAAATGAAAATTATTTTATTATTATTATTATTGTTGTTTTTGTTATTACTGTTATCACTGTTATCGTTTTTATTATTATTGTTATTATTATTATTATTATTATTATTATTATTATTATTAT